ATTATCTATTCACAATAGTAAACTGTTCTCTCGGCTTCTCCATGAGCAAGATCTATATGACACATGGAGAAATTTATTTCCAACAGCAGGAGATTACACTTATTTCTCACAGGTACACTTAACATACACACGCATCGACCTGTGCCTAGTCGATAAACATACCCTCCCACATCTTATGGACCAATCCATTGGGATTCGGACATGGTCCGACCATGCCCCCATTCTGGTTACCCTAGCAGTGCCATACCCCACAACAGGGAGAGGTAAATGGCGTTTGAATGAATCTCTCCTTGATAACCCTGCTGATGTTCAATATATCTTCACGGTACTAGATAATTACTTTGAGGTTAATTCCACTGAAGACACCACGGTAGAAACTCAATGGCTGGCACACAAAGCAGTTGTCAGGGGTCACTTCATCAGATTGGGTTCCATAGCTAAAAAAAGCTATATTTCTAAAGAGACTGCACTTCGCCATACCCTTAGGAAGTTAGAAGAATCCAATAAACAATCCCCATCTAAATCAATCACCCGTCAAATTACCAAAGTACAACAGGATATTCACCTTCTTCAATCACAAATATACACCAAGCAAGCACGCAAAACCCAACAATTGTATTACTTTTCAGGCAACAAGGCAGGCAAGATTTTGGCTAACCAACTGAAAGCAAAATACCTACAAACTAAAATCCCTTATCTATATTCCAAAGATCACGCACGAATATATAACCCGAATACGATTGTTGAAGAATTGGCCGGTTTTTATGAAGACCTGTACAATCTTCGCAATAACCCCAACACCAAATCCCCCAGTGTTGTAGACATCACACGATACCTCTCTCAAATCACACTCCCTCAAATACCGACGCACCACATGAATCTTTTAGACGCACCGTTCACGGAAACTGAAGTGAGTAATGTGATTAAATCCTTGCCAAAACATAAAGCGCCGGGACCTGATGGTCTCTCCAATTATTATTATTTGAAATTGGCATCGCGATTAATACCACACCTTACAAAACTATTTAACAAAATAAGAACGACAGGTAAATTCCCACAAGATATGCTAGAAGCTTACATTATCACCTTGCCTAAGCCAAATAAACCACCAACATATTGCAGTAATCTCAGGCCGATTTCATTACTTAATGCCGACGTTAAGTTGTATGCCAAACTGCTTGCCAACAGAATTCGCCCCCTGTTGTCCTCATTAGTCTCAGAAGAACAAGCGGGCTTTGTTCCTGGCAGGCAGGTTGGGGACAACACCAGATACTGTATGGACTTAATTGATTGGGCCAACCTCAAAAATAAATCAGGTGCTTTGTTGGCGTTAGATGCGGAGAAGGCATTTGATCGCCTAAATTGGGATTATATGTCAGAGACCCTGTCAGCTTTTGGTTTCTCCAATGCTTTCATTACCAGCATTATGGCCTTATATTCCGCCCCATCTGCTAAAGTTTTCAGTTCAGGCTTCACATCACGTAATTTTCGTATAACCAACGGTACGAGGCAAGGGTGCCCCTTGTCGCCCTTGATCTTCATTTTATGTTTGGAACCTCTAGTTAGAACGATCAAACTTGAGGCGGCGCTACCCGGTATAGATACCCCGGCAGGAGAAAAAAAGTTGGCACTTTTTGCCGATGATGTAATTATCTTTTTAGCTAACCCAACTGAATCCATTCCTCACCTATTACAAACACTGGCCACATACGGAGACATCTCCTATTACAAGAATAATGTTAATAAAACCCAAATACTACCCATAAGACTTAATAAGCAATTGGTGAGCGAACTGAAAAACACATATCAATTTGCGTGGCAAACTAACGCAATTTCGTACCTAGGCATCAAATTAACGCACTCCAAATCCCTAACTATAAAGGAAAATCACATAGCGGTTCTGTCCAATATTACCAAACAAATGGATTCTTGGAGCAATCTCTACACATCATGGTTTGGTAGAATTAATTCTATTAAAATGATGGTTATGCCACATATACTCTACCTATTTAGGTCATTGCCCATTGCCTTACCAAATTCGCTCCTTCAACGTTTCCAGAGGGCAATTAACGCCCATATTTGGAAGAAAAAGCCCCCAAGAATATCCTTCCACTCTCTGTGGCGTCCATTCAAAAAGGGAGGTCTTAACGTTCCCAACATCATGCTCTACTATAAAGCAACCCTGTTGTCACAAAGCCTCTATGTTATGATGAGTACGCACAAACCGGTATGGGTAGATTTAGAATCCGCTTGTGGGGGGTCACACTCCCTATACAATGCCCTATGGTCCTCCACCCCCTTAGCATCACCCTCCACACTCCCAACATCACGATATATTACAAAATCATGGTCTATGTGGAACACGGCAATATGGCCAAAGGCAGAACTACTGTACCTTGCACCATTATCAGCCCTCTCCGCCTTATCTCCCGACCTCCAAACATCTAAATGGTCAAGCTTAGGTGTTACACATGTACATAAATTGCTTGGTACAAATGGCATTCACCCTTTCCCAACACTGCAGGAACGGTACAACTTACCCTCGAGAGATATTTTCTTGTACCTGCGTGTAAAACATATATTACTGTCACATTCGATTGAGCACATTGACCCGCTGTCACTTAGCAATATAGGCTCACAATGTTACCATACTAGACTGATACGTCCCTCGTGCAAACTTCTCTCCCTATGCTATAGGACGTTGTCTGATATTCACGGACACTCCAAACTAACTTATATGAAGCAATGGGAGACATCGTTGGGAATAACCCCAACTCTCATGGAATGGGAACAAGCCATCACCTATACCAAAAAATCTTCGAAATGTGTCATACTTTGGGAAGCCTACTTTAAAATGTTAATGAGATGGTACTTGGTCCCGAGCAGGATTCATAAAATTCTCCCTCAATATGCTGGCGTTGCAACTCTAGTTTAGGGTCCATAGAACATATATTTTGGCACTGCCCCAATCTGCAAAACTTTTGGAAGGATGTCCAAACAACTATTCGGGCGATCTGTAAGATTACATTCCCGCTATCCCCAGAAATTTACTTGCTCCACATTATCCCTAACCTACGTGATATACCATCTAGAGACGCAGTATTAAATATACTAGTGGCAGCAAAAATTAGCATTGCAGCCCACTGGAAAGACACCAAGCCTCCTTCTTTGAAGGAGACTCTAGGAAGGGTGGAGGTTACATACCACCACGAATGCGAATGGGCAAAAGGAGGTAATAGGTCACACGTTCTGGACAAGTGGAAAAATTGGGAGTCTTTTAAAGATTCTCATGCTACAAAGTAAAGAGCAGATCCCGCAACTAAGAGTGGATAAAGTACTCTATCCAGAACAAGGCCTACCACTACATGACAAGTTACTAGGCTATCCTATCCCACTATACCTAGTAAGACTACTAAGCCACATCCATATCACTAATTTGCTATACCCCGCTATAATAATATAAAGTACTATATCCTAAGACAAGATGCGCCCTACTGTACCCTTCCCACTCCCTCCTCCTCCCCCTTCAGTTATTACGGTTATCTCATGTATATATATTTGTAACTGTTATTTATATTAAGGTCTTATTATGCTAGCATATGTCACATAAATATTTGCCTGGGAGTAGTAAGAAAGTTTCGAATGATGTGTCCACCATGGATCGAGGAGAACTTAGGTATATCACATAACTTTCGCCCACTACCTATAAACCCTCATAACACTACAACATACGGCAAGTCCACTTGATCTATAAGTTACCTTTACTGGCGAAACTACATACCCTTCACAATAGGCCAAGCTACCCTGCATCACCTTTACAGCTGTGTTTTCTCCCTCTCTTAATATCATATCTTCATAACTGCTATCCTGATATCGGATACTTGGCTGTACACCAAGCAGACACTAATGCAGCAGAGGGGAGAGCGGTTTAGATTAGCCGTGTATACAAAATGGCAACAAATATCGAACTTCATGGCTACAATCAATAGTAATGTTTACCTGTGTATCCCCATATGTATGTATGTAGGTACCTAATGCGCCAGACAACTCCTTCCTTCACATGGTGTATGTATATAAGCGTGTATAAAGTGAAACGTGATAATAAGGCTACTGTATATGTCATTACCGTAATTATATGTTCTTTTATGCTCTTTTATGTTCTTCCTTTCTGTTATCTTGTATGTGTATCATAATAAGCTGTATGTATTATGTTACATGAGGGACTTGTCTCCTCTACTGTACCTCTTTATAAAACAATAAAAACATACATTGAAAAAAAAAAAAAAATATATATAAAAAAATATATAAAAAAAGAAACATTTGCGGCCTGCGGTGCATTTCTTGCAGTCCAGTAATGATATCAGGTTTTTAAAACTGTCCGTCTCCAGTAGACGAAATGACAGCATTTCAAAGGTCAGGAATTTTTAAATGCTGGCATTCAGGGCCAGGGATCGCGGGTGGGTATGGGGCTACTTCCTCTTTCTCTCCAGTGTTGAGATGCTGGACAATTGTGTACCTGGCCTATGCTGGTGCAGGAACCCATTATACGAGCCACTTGTGAATGACTGGCCTGATAACTGTGGAAATGACCCCTATTCGTCTTCCTCATGTGCCACATCCTCTTCCATCATCGCCCAAAGCATTTTTTTCAAGTAGACATAGAAACGGGATAGTAAGGCTGAGAGTGGCGTCAGCGGCACTGGCCATGTTGGTGGAGTCCTCGAAAAAGCGATACATGGCACACAGGTCTTGCATGGAGGCCCACTCATTGGTGGTGAAGTAGTGCTGTTCTGCAGAGTGACTGACCCATGCGTGCTGCAGCTGAAACTCTGCTATCGCCTGCTGCTGCTCGCACAGTCTCTCCAGCATGTGCAAGGTGGAGTCCCACCTTGTGGGCATGTCGCATATGAGGCGGTGAGCGGGAAGGCCGAAGTTACGCTGCAGCGCAGACAGGCAAGCAGCAGCAGGGTGAGAACGCCAAAAGCGCGCACAGAATGCCCGCACTTTCTGCAGCAGCTCTGATATATCTGGGTATACACATTGGCGGTGTAGGTGGAAGCGGCGGCGGTGGAGGAGGAGGTCAACACTGTTTTTTATTTTTTAATTGGGATAGCGCCCAAAATATTGGCACATATAAAAAAAAAAAAAGAATAAGTGCACTTGAGTATAACAATGGTTGAGTATAAATGTGTATTGTGCACAAGGTACAGACAAGTCTGGTGGGATCCATGCCTGATTCATTTTAATAAGCATGAGCTTGTCCATGTTGGCCGCGGACAGATGCCTGCGCTTGTCTGTGATAACCTTGTGCCGATCGCACATCCCCGTGACAGCGACAAAGCATTCGGATGTCTGCCCTATCAACTTTCGATGCAATTTTCCGTGCCTACCATGGTGACCACGGATAATGGGGAATCAGGATTCAATTCCAGAGAGGGAGCCTGAGAAACGGCTACCACATGCAAGGAAGGCAACAGGTGCGCAATTACCCACTCCCGACGCGGGGAGGTAGTGACAACAAATAACAATACACTACTCTTTCGAGGCCCTGTAATTGTAATGAGTCCACTTTAAATCCTTTAACTTGGATCAATTGGAGGGCAAGTCTGGTGCAGAGCGACTGGCCCGTGAGTGCTGCAGTTAAAACTCCACTTTCGCCTGCTGCTGCTCGCTGAAGCTGCATCAGGGTCCTGGTATGTGGCCGCACAAACACTAGTGCTCAACACCAGGGGGCGTGTGGTTGCCCTGCACCAGACCCTGCTAATCCATTCCTTACTGTGATTCCTAACTTCAACATCAGGCATACTGGGTCCTGGTCATCCGACTGCCGCCCAGACAGTGTCTGGGTCCTGGTCACCGGACTGCGAAACTGCGAATGGCTTGTTAAATCTGTAATGGCTCCTTTTATTGCTCCATCTGTTACTTGGATAACTGTGGGAATTCTAAAGATAATACATGCCAACGAGCGCTAGGGGACGGCTGCTCCACTTTTGCTGTGCTGTGCTGGTGCCTCTGTGCGACCAGTGCCTCTTCCTCCAAACTGCACACGTCACTCGCATCACCTTCATTCCACGTTGTTTTGGTGTTTGGTTTTTAACTTTGCAGTTGTGTCTTTACACAATATAGAAATGTATATTAATGCTTCTGTATATAAAGCGATCACAATAACACTTATTTTTCACTTTTTTAAAAGGTCTTTAGACTTTCTTGAGAAGCGGTAACTAGCCAGTGTTGCACACATACACCAGTTATGAAGTGCAGGCACCAGACTGACTTTTTAGCACCTAAAGAATTTGAATGTTTAAAAATGCGCTGTAACCACGGTATTTGACTCTCAGATATGAAGTGCACCGCAGGCCGCAAATGTACTATTTAGCAGCAAAAAAATTTGAATGTTTCAAACTGAGCTGTAAGCACAGTATTTGACGGTTCTATTTGACTCTCAGATATGAAGTGCATGCCCCAAATTTACTTTTTAGCACCTAAAGAATTTAAATGTTTAAAATTGTGCTGTAAGCACAGTATTTGATGGTTCTATTTGACTCTCAGATATGAAGTGCACGCCCCAAATTGACTTTTTAGCACCTAAAGAATTCAAATGTTTAAAACTGCAATATAAGCACAGTATTTGACGGTTCTTTTTGACTCTCAGATATGAACTGCAGGCACCAAATTGACTTTTTAGCACCTAAAGAATTCAAATGTTTAAAACTGCAATATAAGCACAGTATTTGACGGTTCTATTTGACTCTCAGATATGAAGTGCACCGCAGGCCGCAAATGTACTATTTAGCACCAAAAAGTTAGATTTTTTAAACCAACAATGTAAGAGTAGTATTTAAGGGTTTTATTGGACTGCAAGAAATGCAGTACGCAAATGTACTATTTAGCACCAAAAAAATTGCTGTATTTAAAAATGCCTAGATGTTGCCCACTGAGCTACCAGAACAGGATTAAAGTAATGTGCCTGGCACACATGCAGTTGCAAGTGCACTACACTCTGTGGCACTGGGCTCAGGGCAGGGTACAAAAATGTAGTATTATAGCATCCACAAAAATATTTGCTGAAGTTTGAATTATCGCTGTAGTTTGCAGATTCAACACCAGAATTCTTTCCTAATCTGTCCCTTGCAGCTGCAGCATCCTCTCCCTACACTAATAAGAGCTCATGTGCATGCGGTGCTACGCAACTCCAGCTTATATAGAGAGTCTGGGTCACATGCTGCACTGGCCAATTACAGCCATGCCATTAGTAGGCATGGCTGTGATGGCTTCTAAGGGCACACGAGTCAAACGCTTATTGATTGGCTGCCCTGCAGCCTTTCAAAACGTGCCATTAAAATGCTGAACAATGAACTCCAACCCGAACATAGACTGATATGTCCATGTTCGGGGCCGGGGTCCAAAAACCGTAATGTTCGGTACGAACCCGAACTTTACAGTCCATGTTCACTCAACTCTAAACCTATGTAATACATTTCTGGCATCCATGGCTGACTCTCACTTCTAAGATCTGCCTTCCCCACTCTGGTGTGTCTCCCGTTCCACCCTGATGAGTTGTGAGTATCTACCTACTGAGTTTTTTAGCCAATGATCAGCATTCTGTCCACTTATCCTGTGCCATAACATAGTTCTAAGTAACCTGTCTGCATCCCCTGCCACAAATCACTTTCCACTGGTTTGACTGTGTATGTATGATTAAAGTGTGTGGCTGTTTTTTTTTTCTCTTTTTCTCTTTCTTTTAATTTTAAAAATAATTTATTTCCTCATGGTATTATGAGACTCTTGTCCATAACATGATTAATCTGTAACTATATAGAGTTGGTTAATATTTATATTCTGCGTATTATTATATGTACCTTTTTTTTTTACCTCTCTTTTCTAAAATTTAATAAAGATTTATAAATATTAGAAGAAAAAAAAGAGCACTGTAATTGGGGAACATCAATGACATGAAGAGGTGTACGTGGTCAGCCACATTCTCTAGGTAGGCGGTACATCTCAATGTAATATCCACAAGAATGGCAGGACCCAAAGTTTCAAAGTAAAACATTGCCCAGAGCATAACACTTAGAAACAAAATGTGACAGCAGATAAGAACCATTCGGCCCATCTAGTCTGCCCAATTTTCTAAATACTTTCATTAGTCTCTGGCCTTATCTTATAGTTAGAATAGCCTTATGCCTATCACATGCATGCTTAAACTCCTTTACTGTGTTAACATCTACCACTTCAGATGGAAGGCCATTCCATGAATCCACTACCATCACAGTAAATACTTTACTTTACTTATATATTATTTTTAAACCTTTGCCCCTCTAATTTAAGACTGTAATTTTGTTGTGGTAGTTTTTCTGCTTTTAAATATAGTCTCCTGCTTTACTGTGTTTATTCCCTTTAAGTATTTAAATGTTTCTATCATATCCCCCCTGTCTTGTCTTTTCTCCAAGCTATACATGTTAAGATCCTTTAACCTTTCCTTTTAAGTTTTATCCTGCAATCCATGAACCAGTTTAGTAGCCCTTCTCTGAACTCTCTCTAAAGTATCAATATCCTTCTGGAGATACGGTCTCCAGCACTGCGTACAATACTCCAAGTGAGATCTCACCAGTGTTCTGTACAATGGCATGAGCACTTCCCTCTTTCTACTGCTAATACCTCTCTCTATACAGCCAAGCATTCTGCTAGCATTTCCTGATGCTCTATTACATTGTCTGCCTACCTTTAAGTCATCAGAAATAATCACTCCTAAATCCCTTTCCTCAGATGTTGAGGTAAAATATCACTCCCTTTTTCCAAACAGTAGAAGAAATTTAAAATGGGCATACCATTCCTACAGACAGGGAAGGTGATGAATTAACTGTCCCATTTCACTGTTAGCATTACATTAGCATTTCAGAGATTGCTAAAACTCTTATATAACTCTTCACTGATCAGTCACAACATTAAAACCACTGATATGTAAAGTGAATCACATTGATTTTAGCATTACAATGGTGCCTGGAAGTTATAGTCTTAGTTGACCGAATCTTTCAAAATTATATCTGCAATTCACTTCTTGCAATATTTGTCCCTAAAACAGTCAAAAACAAATAGATATATTAGACATACGATTCATTAGAACTATCTGGGCAAATTGGTGAATTTATTAAGTTATTTTTTAATTTATACTAGTTATGTTGTGTTATACTAGTTATGTATAAATATTAAAAGCAAAACTGTTTTCCATTTTTTATGGATTTCATTTAGTCATAATAGTGAGTTTTTATTATTAACTTTTGTAAAACTGTAATTTCATACATATATAGAATAGAACATGGACACTGAAGTATGTCTCTAAATAGGAGAATGCTATTAAAATGTTGTATACTTCAGCCTGAAACTCCACATTGTCTGGGATCTGTCATTTCACTTACAGTGTCTTAAAGCAGTAATAGCACTAGTATAACTAAGAATTCAACACAATTAGCAGCATTCCTTCAACATGGAAATTGAGTTTATTGTCAAAAAGTTGCTTAAGTTTGTTTTTGGATGAGAGTAGAGGCTGTTCACTTGAAATCCTTCCAAACAACTTGTGGTAATTTAAGTGATGTCAGATTGTGGTTTTTGAGACTTTCTGACCATAAGACCTTCTGAAGTTATCCACCTCTGATTATTGGAGATTTTTCTTGGCCACTTGATCCATCTTCATAGTGCATTGAGACAATATGGATACCCATCCTCTTCCAGGTTTATTCATAACATTTCTAGTTGACTAGAAGTTGTTGATTACTGCCCTTATGTTGTAAATTGTAATTTCCAATGCTTTTGCTATTTTCTTATAGTCACTTCCCATTTTGTGACGCTAAATAACCTTTTTGCCACTCATCACATCTATATTTAAACAATATAAACCTGTGTTGTGTCAGATAAACCTGTGTTTTGTTTGCATTTTTAAATATCCATAAGAGCAGATTATTTTTGTGTATTGTTTTAACAAAAGATCAAAAGCCAAATGTACTTGTTGTGATCAAAACAAAACGTAAGCAAAAGATGGAATTTGTCTACATGTCTGTTCAACCGTAATTCACCTCTTTCATATTTAGTGCACCCACACTTATTATATATCATTTTATTCAGGAGAAACAGGGCTTTCATTCTTTCATTTAACATCAAATATTTAGCTATGAAACATTATTTAAAATGAATAAAACATTAAAAAAAACTGAAACGCAAGCCTTATGTTTAAATCTGTAACTTTTAAAAACACCATAAAACCTTTACATGAGGGGTACTGTTATACTCGGGAGACTTAGCTGAACACAAATATTAGTGTTTCAAAACAGTAAAATGTATCACAACAATTATATCATCAGTGTAAGTGCCACTTGTGTGTGAAAAATGCAAACAATTTAACTTTCACTGATGATGTCATCGTTGTAATACATTTTACTGTTTTGAAACACTAATATTTGTTTTCAGCGAAGTCTTCCAATTAAAATAGTACCCCCCATGAACAGTTTTTATGGTGTTTTGGAAAGTTACAGGGTTAAATATAGTGCTAGCAAATTAAATTCCCTGGACTTTCTGCATGGGTTTTCAGGCAGGTTCCGCAAATTGTAATTAATAAAATGACCTAATTATATAAATATATTACATAAATTACATAATACACACATACAC